AGTATTCATCGTAAAGTAATCAGTTGCCATTTACCGAACTGACTGATAACTAAGTTATCCGACATGTTTGATGTAAGCACTGAATTATCTTCGTGCAACTTATTCAACCACGCAAATTTGCACTCACTTCGTAAGAAGTAAATGAAATTTTGCATATTAATATTAATATTAGGAGTGGTCGAATAAATTGTATGAAATCATTCAGTGCTTACATCAGACACGTCAGATTATTATCTATATTACTCGTTACATTAATTAACTTTGAATATATTTCTGTTAAAACAATCAAATTAGGCGTTTCTATATTCCCTATAGATTCTACTACGATGAAACTATATGATTCAAATGCTCTCGCTATTAATGTCCAGCCAAATTATTATTTCCCGTATTTAATGGATTATTATCAAAATGAAATGTATCCATACACAGATGAAATGTTATTCGAGAATTCAAATATGACTGAACACTTTTCAATGCTAACATTAGAAAGTAACAATGGTATGCCATCAAAATCACCAATGCCTAAACAAAGTCCACAAATTCAACAACCAATTCTTGCATCACAATCTTCAACTGCTAATGTTCATATTAAACCGAGAAAGTATAAATGTGATATCTGTCAAAAATTATTTGTTCGGCCAAGTCAGTTAAAAACTCATATGCACACTCACACCGGTGTGAAACCATTTAAGTGCACTTTTGAAGGATGTGGCCGTTGTTTCTCGGTTGTTAGTAATCTTCATCGTCATCAAAAAATTCACATGAAATCATCTCTTCCAAAAACATAGAATTATATGTATAATACACTATGCTAAACTAACAATTCATTATTTTATCATAAATTAGTTTTTATGAAAAGATTTTTAAGCATCCTTAATATTTTTATAAGCATTTATTTTTATAAACATACTGTATTCAATGTTATTTTTACATGATATAATTCACTATGAATAAAGATTTAATATATTATTATCTCAATAATATCATTTTGTGCACATATTAATTCGATTAAACTATTATCATGAATTCGACAAAAATACATGTAAGCATACATTATTCGACATTTCATATGATCATGTGAATTTTTTT